AGGCGGGGGGGGGATATTTTGGTGGCGTTGGGAGCTCAGCTGTCTTTGCTCCCCAGCCTGGGCCCCACCCTTGCACATTCGCTGGTGCTGGGCGGCCTGCAGCGCTGCTTCACAGCCTTCCGAAGCGTTCCATTCGGTTTGGTCTGGTTCCTCTGCTGGGATTTTCAGGCCAGGATGTGTTTTTATCACTTCCTATTTTTAGCAATTTATTAGTCGGGGAGTCAACACCCAGCCTGTGTTGGGCTTCCTAAATTAACAGGTTGGCACTGGGCACAGGAACGCCAGGCCACGAGCACGCGTTTCTCTACTGTCGGTAACTGGGGATTATCCCTTCATAAAGAGCTGTTTCAATCCCTCTTTTTCATCAGCACACTACGGAACAAAGAGATCAGCTTTGACACATTTAAACCTAATGCATTTAAAAATATTCTCAAGAAAGAGAAGAGCCGTACAAATTTAGGAAGTAAGAAAGGGCAGGAACTTGTGCTTTTCGGAATTACTTGCTGACACTGCCAGGCAGTGGAGAGGGCCCTGCTCCCCGGCTGAGCCCTAGTCCTTTCACTTCTCTTGGTTCATTTCGCTGGCTCAGTGAACTTGGACGAGTCTCTTCCCCTCTGGGCATCTTGTTCATGAAGCCCTACTTGACACTAGGCAAGAGCAAAACCAAATGACTTCATGAAGTCTTCTCCAGTACTATCACCGGTTGCTCCTTGAGAGGGCAAACTACTATTTGCAAAAGTACCTGGATTCCTCTGGGGTCCACAGGCTCCCAAACAAATCTCATCCTTACCTTTTCCTGGGTGACCTTGGGGAAGTTACTTAACCTAAATGAAATGGACATGACCTGTTTCTCAGTAACATTAGCATCTGAACGGTGGTAAATAAATGTCAGTCTCTTTCTCCTTCCCAGCAACTTCCCCTCCCATCCTAAATTAACCTGCAGTCACTGGCACCAGGGAATCTAGTGGGTGAACCTAGACACAACTTAACTAGAATTTCTCAAGGGTTTAATGGAGGGCTGGAGTCCATTATTGTTTTTATGTTTTGCATTGATTTCATGAGAGACAGATATAGAAAGAGAAATAGACAGACATCCCCAACGGGTCTTCATGCCACTGACTCCCCCCTGTGCATCATGGGTGCATATGTGCTGGGTGAGGACAGGGAGGACTCAGGAAGTGAACCTGGAACCTTCCCATGTTGGTCCAGTATTGTAGAGTGCTCTGCCACCCCCTGCACCATTGACTTTGCCCAGTATTTTATTTTTAATAACACTTCTCAACCCCCCTAACATAAAGAATCTTGTATTCTAGACTTGGGGAGCTTTCATTTTTGGTAATAGCTGTGAATAGATATCAATGTTCTGATGGATGATCGTTTTCAGAGACTGATAAAAAGTTTCACATCATTTCATTCTGTATAGAATTCAAGGCAGATTAGCAATGCAGTGAATCCACATACTTTTTACTTCAGAGCACACTCTCAGTCTTTTTGGTGGATTTGAGGCCTGAGAAAAAAGGAGGCTGTCCAAGTTTCTGAATCTTTCTCATATTGTGTTGGAAAGTCCACAGATCCATGGCATTAGTATTTAGAGAGGATATATAGTTTTTCCTTTATGAAGGGCTTCTTAAAGGTCATAGAGCAGACTGTGAAATTTGTATTTCTTGAAAAGTCCTTTTTTTTTTTAATACTAAGTTTAATTTCACAGGTGTAAGGATTTATTCAGCCCACAGTGTAATTTTTGTATGTCTCAAACCAGGGCATTTGTTTGTCATTGGATCGTATACTATGGTAACAGGTGACTTCAAGAGTATTTGCTCACTGACCTATAGAACTAACTGGAAACCTAGGGATTTGAGGTGGGAAAACACAACCTGGTCTTTGGACACTCAACAGTATTATGATCAGTTTTATCAGTGGATGCTGTGTATAGTAGAGTTTGTTTTTGAAAATAGACAAAACTGGGACCAGCAGTTAGCAAAATGCCTATGTCGCTGGACTCCCATGTAGTCGACCATGGTTCGAGTCCCTGACCCAGTGGCTTAAACTCACGCCGGACACGTGTGTATGTGTGCCCAAGATCCCGAGAGGAGAATGGAGGAGAAGGGACTGTGGCGTGGCCATCCCCCCTGGGGAGTGATTTCTCTCTTTCTATCTCTCTGTCTCTGTCTGTCTGGCGAGCACACGTGCCCTATAGTAAAAACCTCTCCAAAAAAAAGAAAATAGACAAAACTTTTTACTCTCTATTAACGTTGTGAGTGATAATACCACTATGACTATTTAACATTATCAGAAGCGCCATTGTGGATTGAATACTATATTTTCCTTTTTTAAAAGAATTAATTTATTTAACTTTAGTTATTTATTCATTTGTTTATTTCATTTTGAACTGAGAGGGACAGAGTAAGAGGGAGATAGAGAGAGAGAAATTGAAAGTGAGAAAGCAAGCCGCCAAGTCCAGGACTTGAATAAACCACAGTCAGCCACATGAGAATCCAGCACCTTTAACCTGCTGGCCCCCACTGTATTTTTCTAACACTGAAGAAACATGCATTCCTTTAACAGGTCCTTGCTAAGTACCTACCACACCTAAGACCCATGTGCTAGGCACTTGGAGTACAGATAGCGAACCCAATGATTCTTTTTTTTTGGAGAGGTTTTTGCTATAGGGTGCATGCGCTCGCCAGAAAGAGAGAGACAGAAAGCGAGAAATCACCCCCCAGGGGGATGGCCACGCCGCAGTCCCTTCTCCTCTGTTCTCCTTTCGGGATCTTGGGCACACACACACATGCGCCCGGCATGTTTTAAGCCAACGGGCCCGGGACACGAACTGCGGTCGACTACATGGGAGTCCAGCGACAAAGCCATTATGCTAACTGCTGGTCCCAACCCAATGATTCTTGTTCTTACCAAGTTCATTTTCTTGTAGAGAAGACAGCGGTTAATCAAATAATCTTGCAAATGTAAGGTTACAATTTTTTCCCTAGGATAGAGTCTTAAAAATTGTTTGGCTAGAAGGCATGCATACTTAAGTTGTGGCTAGACCTTGCAAAAGTGACTCCCTAAATGACTCCATCAGTTTACATTCCTCCCACAGGGCCCATTTCTCCACACACCGGTCAGCATGGCTAATGGCAATCTGTATTAATTTGAGAACCTGACAAGTCTCTGAATTTTTTGCCAATATAATGGACAAAATTGTACCTTTTAAAGATTGCATTGCCCTGGTTGGTAATCAGGTTGGTAATCTTTTTACATGTCTATTAGCACGCAGGTCTCATCCCATGATTCCTCCCTTAGTGGGTTTTCAGTCTTAAGTTTGAACCCATTCTCCTGGAGGGTGTTCAGAAAGAAGATCCCTATCTTTTTCCCAACTGAAGAGCTGACAGGCTTCCCTAATGCGGAGCCTTCAGTGGTGTGGTGAATGAGGTTGCTTTTGACAAAAGTTGTGAAATGTAATGACGGCGTCTGTCATAATATGAACAATCTCTAATTTCTACTTACCATTCCCTAAGCTCTATGTCTTATAAATCACACCCACTTCTGAATTACTTCAAAACATTGCATGTTCTCTTCTAGTGAATGGTATAATTAGCTATATTATGTCTCTCTAGAAAGTTATATTATGTCCCTTTAAAAAAAAATTAGCCAGTGTGTGATTGCTTATGTTCAAGCAGATGTTGAGGTAATGAGGTAATTCTCCTTTTGTCTTTTTCGGGGCTTTAATTTATTGGACTGATTGACATCTTTAATGCACGGAGAAATGGCAACTTTGGCTACTGTTTCCGATGCATATTTCGCAGCTAGTGAAGTGGACATTTCCCTTACAAAACATCATTCAATCTGCTCCCCCTTCAGAATTCTCTTGGAAAATGATAGACTTACTTCAGAATTTGTTTAAGGTGCATGATTTTCTGTGTAATTCACTCAACCCCCATGCGTTGAATATTTATAGCCAGGCACTGTGCTAGGCAGGGGGGGAGAGAGAGAGAGGGAGAGAGAGAGAAAAAGAAAGAAATACAACCTGCCCCTGCTGCTGAGGAAATCCTATTCTTGAGATGGGGCAAGCCTGCAGATTCTGGAAAGCATCAGTTTGGCCTAGTGTGGGTCCTGGTTTCAGACCTTGGGCCGGGCGGGCAGGTCGCCTTGATTGGAAGACCTTTCAAAGCCCAATCGATTGGAGTGATTGTGCAAAACAGAATGGAATGCCCCTACCAGAAGGGAGGATGCAGAGTGGGCAGACACAGACAACAGATGTCTGCCAAGCTGGTCAGCATCATAATGTCATTTGAAACTTGTTGATGAAGTTTTGAATAGTCATTGGTACTTAATAGTAAGGATGGTCTAATGTAAGAACAAAACAGCATGAATAGAAACCTAAGAGTTTTGGGCTATTGTTAGGCTACCACTGTTTAAAATAAATTTCTTATGATAATCAATTTAAAGCAAACTAATTTTTTTTTCTTTTTCTTATTGGGCACGTGCGCTTGCCAGAAAGACAGAGAGAGACAGACAGAAATCACCCCCCCTTGGGGGATGGCCATGGCGCAATCCCTTCTCCTCCATTCTCCTCTCGGGATCTTGGGCACGTACACACACGCGCCGGTGTGAGTTTAAGCCACCGGGTCTGGGTCTTGAACCGCGGTCGACTACATGGTTGTCCAGCGACATAGCCATTATACTAACTACTGGTCCCTGCAAACTAATTTTTTTTCATCTTTAGAATTTGTATCATTTCCCCCAAGATTATTCAGAGAGTGCATTGGGTTCAGATGGAAATTT